AATCAATGGAGAAATGCACAATCCACCAATCAAATGCTGATAGATAAGGAATGGAAAAAAAAGTCTAAACTTCCATGGGGAAAAACATGGAGGGGAGGTTTACAATTTTTATACAGGATGCATTTTTTTAAGGGCTTTTTAATTTGAGAGGCATAAGTTTATAACATAATAAATATTTTTTTTTCATAAATTTATATTAAAAATAAAATAAAAATTGATATCAACATTGGAGAAGTTTACAAATTTGTTTTTATTTATTTATACATAACTCTTAAATCACTATTTGAAAGAAATGAGTTTTTTAATTAATTTAATTATAAAATTTTCATCTTAAATAAAACTAACCAACAAACTTGTTAAATTATAACTCTGTTTAAGAGCATGTCCAACGCAGCTCTAATAATTTGTTATTTTGCAAAAATAAACAGGGCTCAAACATTTAAGCATTGGAGTAAAAAAGGGAACAGAGCATTTACCAAAAAAAAAAAAAAAAGAAGAGAGCAGAGCCAGTTTTCCTGTACGGAACTGACTCTATTGTATATATTTTTTGCCCATTTAAGAGCCAAAATGGCGTCACTTCCAAATGTCGAGCTGATTTCCGAATTACATTTCAGTTGCTTTCTTTCTTTCTTTCTTTATATTTAACTTTACTGGTGTGAATTAGTACAGAAATTTTTTTATGTTATTCTTAGTTAGGATCTTGCATTTCCATGTATTTTCATAAGAAATTCTCAGAGAGGATGTATTTGTTGTCTAAGTGAAGATTCCTAGTCTTCTAGTCTAGCGATAAAAGGAAAGGTGATTGCTTTATCCTATTTCTCAAGTCCAATAAATTTTTCCTCTATTCAACACCTGAAATAAATGTATTTTATCATTTAAAATAGCTGATCTTGCTGGCCTAATTCTTTCAAGTTTGCCATTGCAGTCAAAGCAGTAAAAACTAGCATCCAATTCTCCAGTATAACTGTTGGGTAGCTAGTAGGCGATGATTTTTTCAACAGAAACACGGAATGATACATCTTCGTAGGCGTAAACAGCATATGGATTGTCAGCCTTGATAACCAAGTCGGCTTTCTCCTGCAGCTCCAATGCAAGTTCTAAGGTTACCTCAACTTCTCCCATTGAAGGCCGTTCATTTGGATCTGCATATACACAATTGAGAGCGATCTCGACGTATTCTATCAAAGACACCGGTGCTATCTTCCCTTTCAGAAATGGATCAATCACAACATGAACATGGCCATCTTTGATGCATTCAATGATCACTGAAATCAAACCCATATCAGAATTTCTACCACACAATACTTCCAACAGAGCGATACCCAGTGAGTACACATCATGTTTCTCACTTAATTCACCATGAATCAGGTACTCTGGAGCAATATACCTATATGTACCTAAAGTTTTTCACTCCGATTTTGTCAAAGCGTTAGGCTTGGGCTTTGAGACGCTAGGGGGACCAATCTTGGTTAACCCAAAATCTGAAAGCTTAGCATCCCAATTTTCGTCCAGAAGAATATTAAGAGGGCTGACATCGCGGTGAATTAGTGCATACTTTGCACTTGTGTGAAGGTAGTGTAATCCACGCGTTGCCCCAATGCATATCTCTAGCCTCCGCTTCCATGGAGTGGATCAGCATTCCCAGAAAGATGACTATCCAATCCCCCATGGGTCATATATTCATACACAAGGATCCCCTCATCCTTCTCGTGACAAAACCCGAGGAGAGAGACAAGATTCTGGTGGCGCAGCTGGCAGAGTACCTGTACCTCAATTCGGAACACTTCAACTGCTTGTCTCGATGTTCTAGAGAAACGTTTGACAGCGACAACCAAAGAGCCGCCATCAAGGAGGCCCTTGTATACTGGGCCAAAACCACCTTCACCGATTTTCAAATCATGATGAAAATTGTTGGTGGCAGCTTTGAGCTCAGCTAGTGAAAATTGACGACGTAGTCCCTCCGGAAGTGCTGAAGGTTTTATTCGCCTTTCTTTAACTGATGTTTGCTTGAGAAATTTGAAGAAATTTTGAAGAGACATTGAGTTTCTTTTTGCTAAATGTAGCAGGGATGGATGGCAAATCTGCATCGCATTTGTATTATGTCGGTCTTAATTTCTTTTTATTTCAAAGTTAGTCTGAAATCACAAACATTTGTCTTCTACTTACATGAAATATACAGGTAATTTCCAAGTAGGGAGGTCCCTAGGCCTGCTAGTTGCTTTCTTGCTGAAAAGTCGAGGAAATGGAAGTTTCTTAGAGGCCTGCTAGTTGTTTTATTATATTGGAGGAAATATAATAAAACCTGAAGATGGAAGGACTCAAGTGCAGTTTGCTTGGTGAAAGATAGGTAATTGATAACTTACATTTCTCATTTGGCTTAGCATTATAATGATCCTAGTAGAGTTACTGTAGACTTTTATGTATTTTTGTTGTTTGCTTAGCATTATAATGGTCTTGCCAGTATGTATTATGACAGTGACAG